TCGAGTATTGTGATGCATGCAACTTTGTTCTTTTTTCTTAAGAATGCTGAGGTTCTTGGGGACATTTTGGTTCCATATAACTTTTTGGAATATTTGTCCTAGATTGGTTTGGGTACTATGGACATTTTAATGATGTTAATTTTTCAGATCCGTGAACAAGGTATATGCTCCCATCTATTTGTATTTTCCTCAATTTCTTTTTTTTCCTTTCTTTTAAAAAAACTTTATTGTTTAAATATTACATATGGCCCCCTTTTTCCCCATTGACCTCTCCTAGCCCATCTGCACCACCTCCCCCCCTCCCCCAGGCCTTCACCACTCTAATGTCTGTGTCCATGGGTTATGCATACAATTTCATTGGTTGATCTTTTTCCACCCACTCCAACTCTCCTGCCTTCCCTCTGAGGTATGACAGTCTGTTGGATGCTTTTGTGTCTTGGATCTATTTTTGTTCATCAGTTTATGTTGTTCATTATATTCCACAAATGAGTGAGATCATGTGATATTTGTCTTTCTCCGACTGGGTGGAGAAAGGGACCCATTACAACAAACTCTTATTTGGGACCCATTACAACAAACTCTTATTTCACTTAGCATAATGCTCTCCAGGTCCATCCATGCTGTTGCAGATGGTAAAAGTTCTTTCTTTTTTAGAGCAGTGTAGTATTCCATTGTGTAGATGGACCACAGCTTTCTAATCCACTCATCTGCTGATGGGCACTTAGGCTGTTTCCCAATCTTAGCTATTGTAAATTGTGCTGTTATGAACATAGGGGTACATATGCCCTTTCTGACTGGTGTTTCTGATTTCTTGGGATATATTCCTAGAAGTGGGATTACTGGGTCAAATGATAATTCCATTTTTATTTTTTTGAGGAAACTCCATACAGTTTTCCACAGTGGCTGCACCAGTCTGCATTTCCACCAGCCAATGTATGAAGGATCCATTTTCTCCACATCCTCACCAACATTTGTCATTTGTTGATTTGTTGCTGATAGCCATTCTGACAGGTGTGATATAGTACCTAATTGTCATTTTGATTTGCATCTCTCAGATGATTAGTGACCTTGAGCATTTTTTTCATATGCCTTTTGGCTTTCTGTATGTCCTCTTTGGAGAAGTGTCTATTTAGGTCCTTTGCCCATTTTTAAATTCAAGTGTTTATCTTCCTTTTGTTAAATTGTATGAGTTCCCTATAGATTCTGCATATTAACCCCTTATCGGATGTATCATTGGCAAATATGTTCGCCCATGCAATGGGTTCTCTTGTTATTTTGTTGATGGTTTCTTTTCCTGTGCAGAAACTTTTTATTTTGATGTATTCTCATTTGTTTATTTCTCCTTAGTTTCCATTATCCTAGGAGGTGTATCAGGAAACACATTATTGCTATGAGAGATATCTGAGATTTTGCTGCCTATTGTTTGTTCTAAGATTTTTATGGTTTCACGTCTTACATTTAAGTCTTTTATCCATTTTGAGTTTAGTTTTCGTGTATGGTGTAAGTTGGTGGTCTAATTTAATTTTTTTGCATGCATCTGTCCAATATTCCTAAAACCATTCATTGAAGAGACTATCTTCACTCCATTGTATGCTCTTGCCACCTTGGTCAGATATTAATTGAGCACAATAGGCTTTATGTTTCTTATTATTTATTTACCACAAGAAAAGGTCAAGAATTGTTATCTTTCTTTTAATTTTTTTTTCTGTTTCACTATATTACTGCTGTGTATCTGCTCCATGTGAGTGACATAGGTGCTTATGTATGTGGGTTCTGACTTACGGCGAAAACCACATTACGTCGCGCCATAGGAATGGATCTCCGATGTAACCTGAAGACCTACTGTAACCACAAGAAAGCTGCATCTTGACTATACTATACTGAACTGTACTATACTATACTAGTACCTATATCTCTATCTATATCTCTATCTTATCTATATCTGTATATGTATCTATCCTATCTCTATATATAAAAGGCTAATATGCAAAGTGTCCCCTCGGGAGTTCGACCAAGTGGCGGGGAGTTTGATTGCTCGCTATGATGTGTGCTGACCACTAGGGGATGGCATGGAATGAAGGAAGGACCCGGCTGGCAGCCAGAAAGCCCTGATCAGCCCTGGTTGCTGGCCAGGCCTAGGGAACTTACCCATGCACGAATTTCATGCACCGGGCCCCTATTATTGATATAAAGTATTTATATTAATATCAGAAGTAGATGAGGTGTTAAGGTAGGGACCCATTACAACAAACTCTTCCTAATTATAAAACTAGTGGTGTGCTCTTAAATGCATTCCTAAAAAGTCTCTTTTTCTAACAGCCTTGCTTTGTAGCATATACCAATTTTTATAGTGTAATTATTCTTATCATGGCTGATTGCAGTCGGCCAACATAATTAGCCAGAAGCCAACAAAAGCCAGCATAAAAACAATCAGTTCAAAAAAAAAGAAAGATCACCAGGCACAGATCATGATGCTAAATAAGTGAGTGTTCTATGACATAACAACATTAAAAATGGGTGGGAGCGAAACCAAAGCCTGGCTCAGAATAACAGAAGCACGGTGGCTGCCGAGGGTTTCTCTGGCCAGTGTCTCTCCCTCCAGTCTACAGCATGAGGAATATCTTTGCAAACCTCTTCAGGGGCCTTTTTGGCAAAAAAGAAATGCACATTCTCATGGTGGGCCTGGATGCTGCAGGGAAGACAACCATCCTGTACAAGTTGAAGCTGGGTGAGATCATGACCACCACCCCCACCACTGGATTCAAAGTGGAGACTGGAGTATAAGAACATCAGCTTCACTGTGTGGGACTTGAGTGGCCAGAACAATATCTGGCCTCTGTGGCGCCACTACCTCCAGAACACACAAGGTCTCATCTTTGTGGTTGACACCAATGACCGATAGCATGTGAACAAGACTCGAGAAAAGCTTATGTGGATGCTGGCAGAGGATGCGCTCAGGGATGCTGTCGTGCTTGTGTTCGCAAACAAGCAGGACCTCCCCAATGCCATGCATGCAGCTGAGATCACAGACAAGCTGGGCCACCCCTCTGCTCCACAGGAACTAGTCCATTCAGGCTACCTGTGCCACCAGTGGGGACGGGCTCTATGAGGGACTGGACTGGCTGTCCAATCAGCTCCAGAACCAGAAGTGAGCCGAACTCCTCTCTTCCCCCTCACTCCCTCCTTCACCCTGCTTTCCTCTCATGTGGCAGACGTGCCCCTGTGGTGTGAGTGCCAGAAGCTGTCTCCATGGTCGGCCCCAGTGTGCTTCATCGTGCTGTACATGTGCAGACGCAGCCTGCAACCGGGTTTTTATTTAATGTAAATAGTTCTTGTTTCCAATGAGGCAGTTTCTGTACTCCTAAGCAATATTACTTAGATTTTCTTATTGTAAAAAATAAAAATAAAAATAACAGAATCAACCCACTGTTTAGTACCGAGAAGGGATTTGGGGCACTTAGGGCAGGGCCTCTAGTGTTGCTGTGAGATCACCTCAATGCTCCTCCTCTGGGCTTTAAATCTGTGTTGAGATCCATTTTGGTGGTTGGTTTTTAACCCAACCTCAGTGCATTTTTTATAATATAAATACAAGGTAAGGAGACACTTTAACACAGAGAAGGGAGAAATGTGCCTAGTGTAGGTTCTGCAGTAACGGCTTGAGTCCAATCTGCCTTGGTCCGTCTCCCATCTGGAGCGTGCAGTGGGCAGAACCAGCCACAATATATTCTGCATGGTCACTTATGGTCCCTGATTGGCTTTGTCTCGCTCGGTCATCGGCATCCCATAGCATTCGTGCTTCTACCTGTGCTTACACCACTGCTTATGGGGGTGGATGGGGGCTGCAGCCACCACTCAGACCCCTTTGAGGGACCCCAGCCTTCCCTACGGTGAGTATAGATCAGTGTAGGTGCTTTGGTGGGACCACTCAGGCCAGAACAGGAGGCCGCCATGGTCCCTACACACACACTCACTTGCGCCAGCTTGTCTGGGTCTCACCAGTAGGAGTGCAGACCGGTGACCAGTCATCTTAGCCCAGCTCCTCAGAGCCCCCGCCCACATGTGCTTTCACTCCCTCAGCCTGCAAGGGTCAGATTGACATCAAAAACAATCTCTACTTTTTTCTTTTGTATTTTGATAAACACTGAAGAACCTAAAGCTGTTAAAATTTATCTTGGGGAAAATCTCAGAACTGGTTCATCTGGTGTCCTGGAACCTCTTGCTGCTTTCATTACATGCACAAAAAATGTTAAAAATGCATAAGTAAAAAAATGACATATCTCAAAACAGAAAGAGACAAACCTGCAATTATGATTGTGCAGCTTGTTTTGCATAGGATTTTGCATTATCTTATAAGATATGATGAACAAGCAAAAATTATCAATTGAGAATGAAAATTTATTAACAACACAAGTAGCAAACATGAGCTAGTGCACTTATAACAATGCTTATACATGACAAGAGAATGCATATTCTAGGAAAGTTATATGGAGGTGTCGACTATACAATAATTTTAGGAGATCTAGCTCCCTATGCTCCTGACTGCAACAAGAGGATTTAGTGATTGCTGCTTAAAGAATTTAACCCTATTGACACACATCTGTAAGGCCTGTTTGATATCTCTGTTCCTAAGGCTGTAGATGAAGGGGTTCAGCATGGGGGTAACTACCGTGTACATGACTGAAGCAATTATGTCTTTGGAACCCCATGATGAGGAGAAAAAGTAAACACCTGCAGCTGTCCCGTAGTATAAAGACACCACAGAGAGATGGGAGCCACAGGTAGAAAAGGCTTTAAAGAGTCCCTTAGCAGAGGGGACCCTCAGCATGATAGTCCCAATACGGATATAAGAGCCCAAAATAACACCAAAAGGCAGGAAGAAAAGCATTCCTGCCTCGGTGAAAATCATCAGCTTATTGAGGGAGACATCAGAGCAGCTCAGCTTCAGGAGCGCAGCGAGGTCACAGTAGAAGTGGGGGATGGTATTGTTGGCAGAGAAGGACAGTCGGACCAATAGGAGGGTGTGCAACAAATCATGGGCACAGGAGAGAATCCAGGAGCCAGCCACCAGCAGCACACACAGCCCCTCCCTCATGATGGTGGTATAATGTAGAGGGTGACAGATGGCCACATACCTGTCATATGCCATCACAGCCAGAAGAAAATTGTCAAGAGTACAAAAAAGTATGAAGAAATACAACTGAGAAATGCATCCCACATAGGAGATGGATTGTTGCCGAGTCTGCATGTTGATGAGCATCTTAGGGACAGTGACAGATGAGAGAGAAATGTCAGAGAAGGCCAAGTGGCTGAGAAAGAAGTACATGGGCGTGTGCAGGCGAGAGTCCAGCCTGATGAGCAGGATGATGAGCAGGTTGCCCAGCACCGTGGTCAGGTACATGCTCAGGAAGAGTGTGAAGAACACGCCCTGCTGCCCTGGCGGGATGGGGAGCCCCAGGAGGAGGAAGTGGGACACGCTGCTCTGGTTCTCAGGCCTCATGCTGCTCTTCTCTCTCCTGGGGATGAAGGTGTGGGAATCTCAGGAAATTAAACATGATGACCAGGACCATCACATCCCATACTGTCATTCTGTGGGAAAACCATTTATTTTTAAATACTTTCATATTAATTTCTCATATCTGTGAATGTATACAACTTCCCTCCATTTTAGTCTGGCTCCAGGAAAACATTGAACCCCAAAGTAGTAAACAGACATTATCACACAGAAGCATGAGGGGATACACACACACACACACACACACACACACACACACACACACACACATGCACACAGCTGATTTGAGGATTCTAATGACGTGTGACCACTTTTCCATCCTAATGGAAGGATGGTCAGTGTGGGGTTCAGCTAATAAATACTCATATACATACACACAAGTCACAAGGTAAAACACAAAGTGAGACATACACAACACACAGTGATGCACCACTCACCCCACAAACACACTCTCAATGCACATCAACACAGGTGACTCCTGACACAACCTGGAAAAACACTCAAC